TCATTAATTAGCAGTGTGCAAGCAAAACCAAGTTGCCTGCAGTTGCAAGGTTTCTCAAAGCGGATAATCATGTTGCATTAATTAGGAGAGATCTTTGTCTTCAAAACATTTTCTAATCATAGTCAACTCTCATTTCCCACTTACACGTAACTCATTAACCTCTTGGAATTTCTTTGATAGATTGCATTATAAATGAAAATCAGCGCGGTCTTGGACGTGCTTCCTCGGTTCCTCCCCTCCCCTGGGAGTAACTCCCTCAAGTTGTCGTTCAAAACTAAATGAAACTCGTTTATCTGAAATTTTGAACTTATTAATATATGTCTAGTTGTCCACCAACATAAAAACTAAATGTTTTAAGTTTTAAAAATGAATCCCAGTAATCTATGTGGCGTTTCTTAATGTACAACTACCATCACCGTTGAGTTGGCGGCGGAAGTAAAAGGAATATAAAGAATAACTAACTATCCCCCCTTGGCTAGCTTGAAAGTCTCATATTCTATTTGGTGTATATTAACAATATTTATTTTAACATTATAATAGATAAGACACATATCTTCTAGCTATAGCTGAAGTTCAGTCCACGAACCTGCCTTTAAACAAAACTTGCATCGGTTTGATTGGCCATTACGCATTCAAAATGTTCAATATCAGTTGAATGATTTGGATAAGACTATTGACATTATATGGTATGAACATGGCATTTTCTGAGCGTTTCTAATTAATGATCTAATTGCAACTTGTGCAAGCATTCATACATTTGATTTCATATTTAGTATCTGTTTGCATCAGTTGAATTTTCAGTCAAAATATATAGTTTATTGAGAGAGATTTAAAATAACACTCAAAATAATCAAACTAGACACACTACAAGAGCTATATATACTGATTAATATATTAATCTTACCAAATGATGGTAGCTCAGTTGGCACATGAAAACTTAGCAGGTGAGGGTGAGAGTATGTGTCTGATCCTCCCCATTACCATATTTAGAAGGATTTAAAGCCTTACTCTTGAACCCGCCTCAAACAGAATTGTCTCTCTCGTGAAAGATATCTGTAGTTTATCCAAAAATTAATTTGTTTCTATTTTTGTTAGTAAACTTTTAGTGATAGATCATCAGTAAATATCACCCTTAGCCATAGCCCAAAGCTTGAAACAAATTGGAGACTGTATATATAACCTTTTCTAATTAAAAGCTCCCACAACATTGGGTGGGAAAGTGATTTTTTTTATTAACATAGATATGTTATGGATGTATATTTTTTCGTTTCTATATAATTGATAACATCTAGCTAGCCACGAGCGTGCACCAGCTAACTACAAAATCGTTTAATGTTAATTACTTTGTCAGAGAATGATTTGGATGAGACAAATGGCATCATATGACATAAGCACGGAATTTTCTGACGGTTCTAATTGCAATTTGCAACTTGGTACTTATTTACACGAATTTGTAACTTTTTCCTTTTTCTTTCAGATCAGGTGCTATAGCGAATATATTAATTTCTTTTTCTTCTTTTTTAAATTTATTCGGATTAGATTAAAAGGAGGAAATGGTATAGAGAGAGTAAAGATATTTGGGAAAAAGCTAATCTAAATTGAATTTATCTTTAAAGTTTATAAATACTTAAATTTTTAATGGGAAAAATGTTTCTGCATTTAATGCAGATAAGTTATCTGCATTTATTCCCAAAACGACGTCGTTTTAGTATTGAAATCTTAAAAAATTATAAATATAAAAACTATTATAACCCTGAAATAAATTAAAATTACAAAAACACCATGATTTTCGCCCCAAAATAACGTCGTATTGGACTGACTGCAAATAACTTATATGCAGTAACTGCAAAAAAAAACGAACCCATTTTTAATATGTAAGATTACGATTATAAATTAAATCAAGAAAATTTTATTGTACACCTTCAAAGTGTAATATTTATACATTATAAAACTTACAACATTTCCCTTTTTTTTATATATCGAGTACTAAAATTTGAACAATCTCATATAAATTATACAAACCCCCCGTTACTAGACAAATTCTAATGACTTACAACATCTCATTTTCACATTTTACTGTAGGGACTCTATCTCTTTTTTTATCTTAAACAAAGAAAGTGTAATCTAGTGTAAAATTCTTGATGCGTGTAATTATATTTTAAAAATATATAAAAATGAAAATAAAATGAAATGGTAGTTTTCTTTTTCCTTTAGTAGTTGGAAATGGTAGTTTTCAAGTTGCCAAACACTATAAATAGAGCCCTCCCATCGAGTCCCACCACACTCTCAACAAAATATTCAACACCGAATTACTCTCAAATCTCAATCTCTCATCAAATATCCCACAACCTTACAATGACTTATTACTACTCTCCTCCGCCACCTTCACCATCACCATCACCACCACCTCCACCTTATTATCCATACTATTCTCCTCCTCCACCTCCACCAGATTATTGCAACAAGACCAAACCACCTCCCCCACCACCTAAACTTCCAAAAAATTGTACCATGCCACCACCTTATCCTCCCATTATATGTAATTGCACATGCATATGTCCTACTCCCCCTATTACCCCTCCTAATTCCCCTCCCTACCATTATCCTCCTCCACCCCCACTTGCACCAGGACCCTATTATCCACCTTCTTATAATTATACTGTTGAGCATGACTACAAAGCTGTTATTGCTGTATCCGTTTCACTAGGGGGCATCTTGGTTGCTTTTCTTTTCCTTGGTGTTTTCTTCCTTGCAAAGAAGAAGAAGCCAGTGGATGTTCCTCCACCTCCACCACCATCACCACCACCACCACCTCAACCTTCATATCAATATGGCGCAGTCCCACAAACCGTAACAAGTACCTATGAAGCCATAGAGATTATTGAAGAAGCTGGAGGTGATGATGCTGCCGGTGGCCAATCTTATGAACCAGTAAATCCTTCCCCTGTCCCTCATGATTATGGCCATCAAAACTATGGTTAATTAGATTTAGTTTCTTCGTGAACGACATGATCCATGCATCTTGCTCAGCTTCATCTTTTACTTTTTAAATAAAATATACTTTGGAAAGTGGAAACCTCAAAACTTCATGTAGTTGGTTTGGAAGTTGAGGTTAGTGTCATTGTGTGAACTTTGAAGTGAATCTTTTTTTTTTTTTTTGTTTACTTTGTGGTTAAAATTGGATTGTTTATATATAAGTAAGTTTGACTTATACGAAACAATCTGTTTGTGCTGTGCATGCTCATTAAAATGACTGTATGGATGGGGCATATCAATCACCGGAGAGACCCGGAGAATTGCACATCAATTAATTCAGTCTTGATATTATGAATTGTATAATTAGTTCCAATTAATTAAGTTTGGCTTTGCAATTCCATTTGGATTCTTACACGAAGGAGTCAATTTCTATGACGTTTGATTATTTCGTCAGTTTTGTTTCGTTAAATCATTTGGCTATTCATGAAAAAAAAAACAATAATTACCGTATATAGCTAGTTTTTATTTTTTAAGGAAAAATCTAAGCTCTTTAAAAAAAATTATATTTGACGTAGTCACCCATCAAAAAAATAAAAAAATTCATTAATTCGATATATATATATATATATATATATATATATATATATATATATATGTTATAGCTAAAAATGAACAGAAAATAAAATAATATAAAAAGAGGTGTGTGATATTGGAGATATCAAAATAAAATAATTTTGGGCTAGCAACAATGCATAAGGACTAAGGAGGATCCGCCCTTGAGAATAAAATAAAACAGAAAATGAAAGAAAAAACCTAAAATAAAAAAAAACCTTAAAAAGTTAAATTTTAAAAATACCCTTCAAGAATATCGACTTACATATTTTCACGTGTTAAAGTTGACGAGTAATTTGCATTCATTCTATACTTTTCTGGCGTCCATGTTCTTGGAGTTGCATTCGAGCAAGCCAAGCTGATTTTCATAGTATTCGTAAAAATTTGGTTCGGTCCGATATCTCTTATTGAGCTAAATGGGCCAGCTCATAAAAATTGTTTGGACCAAACTCGATTGCCTGATTACGGTTAATTATTTGCGATACCAAACCGAGCCAATCCAGATTATACCGGCTGAGTTAGGAATATTATGAGATGTCCAGTTAGGAATCTTATTCAAATTGAAAGTAAGTTTGCGTTTGGATGAAGCATTCTAAAATGAGATAGAATATTATTATTATTAAATATTTTTATTACCAATCCATTATCACTTTAACATAACTATATATTTAGGTGAATATTTTTTTTTTCTCTCTTCAGAAATTATCTGTCAAAAATGGGATGTAACGATAATAGAGTGATAGTAAATTAATAATAAAAATATTTAGTAGAAAGAATATTCTATCTCTTTTAAAATTGGGTTATATAAATCTTATGTTACAGAATCACAGTGCAACTTTTCTACAAAGACAATGAAGAGGAGAAAGAAAATATGACGAGGAAAGAGGAAAAAAAATATGTGGGCTCATATTCATTATGTTTGCAAGAAAATTATTATTTTTCTTGCAACATAATATTTCTATAACCCTTTAAAATTTTAGAGAATTTAAAATGGAGGGTATAGTGTAATTGCTTCAACTAATTCCCTCAATTTATAAAATTCCTTATTTGGATAGAGTATTTAAATTCGCTTCATTTATAAGACTCGTTATGTGGATAAATTAATTAAATTCTCTTTACACAAAACTCTGTTTGAATAATCAAATTTGACCAAAGAATTTTTATTATAAAAACTATTTATACTGATTTTTCCACCTTTATTCAGAGAATTTATAAGGACATAATAAAATAACGTATGATCTCATCACCTGACCAAAAAGGAACAAGAAAATGGAAGTTCAGCCAATCAAAACATGTATTAGTCAATTTAGGTGGGACTTGGAAGAAACCTACTGTAAGTCTAGTAGTGAATTTTATTTCAAGTACCTCTTAAATGGTTGTATAATCCTAATTAGAAATAACACATACCGAACTTTTGACACCACTAACATCAAGTTCAAGACATTAAGATCAGATTATATGAAGTTTAGTGAGGATTGGGAGGACGACTATTTGCAGAAGAAACCCTGGAGCCCCATACAAGCAATTCTTTGCTGGTTTCATCTTTATGAACAATCACCTCAACGAAGCATTAGCACCACCGCAATATCATTCCTAGGATTCAAATCCGGAACAGAAAACAAGTGAAATGCTAACCATTAAATCATATTACTTTCATTGTCAATTTGACATATTATTTCTATTTAAATATTTATTATATAATTTTATATAAATTCAATTTACACGATTCAACAAAATACCCATAATTAAACAAGTAACCTATTGATGTGATACCTGATTGAGGCAATAACCGGTTTGAATTTAATATCATTGATATATTATCGCCTTATCGACAATCACTGGCTTCTTAGGGACAGCCTGTGCATAATCGAGAGTTGCACCAACAGGCGATCCGATTGAACCATATTGCATTTGGAACTCACACCTATCAACAAGACTTTTTGTCAAAACTAAAAATTAGGATACGCGACTACAAAAAGATAAGGACTAGACGGAATATTAATCCAAGCTACAAAAGGCATCTGTATCAACAATTCAATCCGAAAATTGCAGGCATGGAAATTTTGAAAATTGTCAAAAGAAACGTGAATTCTTGGTACCCAAAATATGGTTTCCTTCCATCTGTACGCAATCAACCCTTTCAAATTCACCATATCAGTCTGCGGCACATATTTTACTAATAACTATTAAGCATAAAAAAAATTTGTTATAATCCTACTCCAAGGTATAGGACTTGGAGTTCCACGTCAGAAGTAAGATTCTGGTATGGAATTTATCTGAACTTTAGGGTGTGTTTGGTATAGGTTTTCATTTGGGTTTGATAGGGAAATGTGGGTGGGTATTGAAAAATACCAAATTTGATATAAGTTTGTGAAAAGAAATTCCAGGAGATCAGGAAGCCTAGGAAACGAGTTTTGTGTTGTTTTTTGGGTGAAAGTCACGACGAAGGCAAATGCTAATTTTTCATTTCAGATTCAAAAATTATAAAAGGGTTATTTTCGTCTTTTCAACCCATTTTTTCATCAATATTTTACCTCCAACCAAACATAAACTCAAAAAATTTAACTCAATTTTTTCGGTAATATTTCGGCCTACTAAATAACTTTTTTTTAACTTTTCTATCAAACTCATTTTCCCACCATATTTCTAATAATTGTATTTCTCTGGAAAAAAAAAAAAAAATTCTCTACCAAACATCCCCTTAAGCTCTTCTATCTCATAAGCTAGCTTTTGGACGAAGATTTTCAGAAGTTTGCATTAGATTTCCACGTTTTTTAATACTTGGTAAGTAGTGTGTTTGCTACCGGGAAATAAAACTCAAACCCACAACAAATAACAAGACCATGAAGCTGAATACCAACACAAAGTATCCCTATTATAGCACATATAGACAAAATACAAGTAAACGTCACCGAATTAGGCTTACTATAAGAGTTCCTCATTTCTTGAAAAGGTCCTACTGCATTGTTAAAATCTCCACTTTGACAAAACACATCGAGCATGATATTTCACAGAACGCTGTCACTCAGAGGCAATTCATCAAACATGGTTCTTGCATCATGAATATAACCATTATCCGAATAAACTTTGATCAAAGAACTACCAACAAACAAGTCCACATGAAATCCCATGTACTAAACCATATTATGAACCATCTTATACAATGGTACATTATTCAAAAACCATAACAAGCCTTAATCATATAAGGAAATGTGCATGCAAATAAATCATTCACTAAGAAAGACCTTCCAATAAAGCAGGTCACTCCCGATAAAATCAGTACTAAGAAACAGAACTCACCTTTTCTATAAATGCGAGTGGCCAAGGACATTTGTAGCAGACTCTATCTCTGCCTGCAACATAGTAACAAGATTATTGTCAAAATTAAGCAATAAAGAAAATCAAACAGACTTTAAACAATGGTCGGTGAAGTGAAGAACTTAAGATATAAGTTAATAAGTGCTCATAAAAAGTTTACAACAGATGTATGACTTTCTGATTGAATTAATGTTTTTGAGGATGATCATTTCTAACGATTTGTAAAATATTCTACTATCTCAATAAAGTTACTCGCGATTCTTACTAATCTTATTATTATCTTTTAATCTATTTTTTATCAACCCGGTCATGTAACAAAAAAAGGGTGGGTGATCCATTCTTTTTAAAATAAACGATGTTGTTTGGTTCACAAAATTTTAAAAAATCGTAACTCTTCCCAAACAAAGCCTTTACTCGCAATTGTCTGCAATCTCTTATTCTTATTTTCTCTTTATTCCACAATACTATTATCTTTGAGCTCAAGTCTTTCCACTTTGCCACCTGAAGACAGTTTTCAACCACAATAATGCCTTTTTAGTCTCATCTGTTTCACCGTTGTCACTTTCTTCACATTGTTTACAAGCATCACTTCAATATAGAGGACCAGGTGTATTCATGATTTTCATTTTTATTTTCTCTGTTTATATATGTATAAAAACTCCAAATTTGATTTTAAAAATTAAGTCCTTAATAAAAGAAGGAAAAAACTATTATCGTGCTAGATGAGATAAGTTTTTTTCTTAAATACCCTTCGATAACTGTGCTATTTTTTTTAGGTGGTGGAGTCGACAAATTTATTTCTATGACATGAGATAACTTATCTGAGATGATAAAAATGAGATTAATAAAATCCTAGAAAAAATTGTGTATCTTGTCTTGAATGTATATAACTCAGGTGTAATAAAATATTCATTTTAAAAACTTCAAATTTGGAGGTGTGAATTTGTATAATTATGAATACCCTATTTTGAGCGGATATATTTTCATCTTTCTATTTTATTTTTTTTGTGTATTACATAATTTTTTGTTTTTTTTTCATTTATTTTATATTTTTCAGTAAATTTTTTTATTCTCTTAATTTACTTATTTTTATTTTTTGGTTTTAAGTGAAAAAAAAATGTCCAATATGTGTTTTCATTTTTTGTTTTGTTTAACACCACATTTAATCTTCTTCATTTATTTTATTATTAGTATTTTAAAAATGGGTTTCGATTTTCTTATATAGTAAAAAAAAAAAATCTATGTAATAGAGTAATAGACACATCTTAGATGCACCCCACATTTATTTAAAAAATAAAAATTATTGCACAAAATCAAAGAATCATTAGTAGGAAAAAATATACATATATTAGCCTAAACCCCTGCCCCATGCTCTACTACCCTGCGCAACTCGATCCCTTGCTTGTCTCATTACCTTGAATCAGACAGAAGGGTCACACTATGACAGAGACATTGCACTACCATGTGAGAGAGAGACCCATCTCTGTTCCTATCAAAGACCCATTCCTTGAGGTATCTCAACAGCTCACTCTCCGTCAACTTACTACCTTGACACAACCCCACCACTTGAACATGTTCAGGGAATAAATGAAAAAAAGCAATGGAGGAGTATCAACCCTTACACTCTCTTTTTTTTGATATATCAACAAAAAAAGGGGAACAGAGATAGCAACCCTTACTCTATAAATACCAAGAGGCAGGACGTTTAAAAGGGGGGTGGGGAAAGAGAAAAAAAGGACTTTCCAAAGAAAAAAAGAAAGACCAAGCAAAAAAAGTAAAAAGTGTTCAGAAAGAAGAGAGAATGGAAGAATAGTTAAGAGTACCTAAAACCATCGAAGGAGGAACGAGGTTGTTGGAGATTATATCTAACGTATATTGTTTGAATTCTTTGTAACCGTAGGTTTGAATTCTTTGTAACGTATATTATTTGAATTCGATTCTTTGTAACCGTAGGACTGTTTAGATAGAGTATTTATTTGTTTTAGTCTGTTACGTTGTTACCATTTATTGTATGTTCGCCTATTTAAAGGATACCAATGATTGAGATAAACACACAGTTGAAATATCAAGTTTATCTTGGTATCAGAGCAATCCTAGTATACACGTTTCCGCATTCCCTTTCAGTGCGAAAGCTGGTTCATTTAACATGGCACCAGGTGGTGGCAGCAAGTCCAAAACAACTGATCCTAGTTCGCCATTTTACTTGGCTGGATCTGACAGTCCAGGTCTCTTGTTAACGACTGTCATGCTGTGTGGTGAGGTCAACTATGACAACTGGGCCAAGCTCATGAAAAACGCATTGAAGGCGAAAAACAGTTTTGTGACCGGTTCAGTCAAGAAACCAGGAGAGGATGATGCCGAAGAGTGGCGCGCCTGGGAGATGTGCAATTCGATGCTCAATGGTTGGATTCACAACACCATTGATGCAAAACTTCAACCATTCATCAAGTGCTTTGATGACGTCAAGGACTTATAGAATGACCTAGAGGAAAGGTATGCAGTGCAAAACTTTCCAAGACAGTATCAACTGAAATCCAGTTTAGCCAATATCAAGCAACATGGAGATAGCTGCTTGGTCGAACCGAGAATTGCTCGGGAATATTTCTTTCAGAGAGCAAGAGTGTAGAGTAGTAATCAGGATTGCCAATAGGAGCAATCTACTCTGACTAAGAGCAACCCTCTTTAACTATACGCAAGCGTACGTGTCAAGCAATATAGGGTATTATAGCCCCAGATTTATCGTCCTCAGGGAGCAGTTGTGAAGTAAGAAGCGCTAAAGGAAACTTAATTTGTAAAATGGAGCAATAAAAGAAATCACTATTCTCAGCTAAGCTTCACAAAGAGTAATCTCTGGGCAGCTAGTTAAACAATGTTAACCATTCTGAACCAGATGAGAGCAGTGAATGACTTAGCATGGTCATCGAATAAAAAGGCATCAATTGAAGTAACTTTAAGAGCAGTCAACGAAATGAAAGTAAGAGCATCAGCTAGTAAAAAACACAGTTCAATTATCGTGAGGAAAAGGTTGTGATAAGAATTGAGTTAAGATTTCAGAAAGAAAAAGATCAAGTAGGTGTTACGGGTTCCATGTTTTCATCCCTTTGATTAACCCTGCCTGGTAGCATATTTTACAAATGGATTTTTCTCCTTCCCTTGTTTTGCTATAGGTAAGCAGAGGGTAAGGTCTTACTTTCCACATTACTCCATAGTACTTGGAGTTATATGCAAGAAAACCATGCTGCCTTCTCAAAAGAGCATGGATTCACATGGCAGTGCTCCCCATTCCAGGTGTTTCTCCCTCCTTTCTTCAGGCTAAACTACCCCAGGATTTTGAGAATGCTCCACACGCCTTTTGTCAGTGTTTCATCAACCGAGTGGTCCCGGGATGAGGTTGCCAGCCCAAAGGGTTTCACAAAATCAATAAATTAAACCAAAGAGCAACTCAAAATTCATTTATAAAATATGTGTTCCTTACAAAGTTATCCTAAGACAAAAGGGATTACTTCTATGGAACCCTCACCTACTTAGAGGAAGTTAGCTCCTAGTGAGCATTTTTACAAAGAAATAAGAAAACAAAGAGACAACAAGTCCTAGGATGGGTGTTGATCCTCCCCTTTATGAGGATTGCTTGTTCCTTTTATAGGGTTCTTCATTTGATCTCCATTGTTCCTTTCATCAAGGGTCGTGCTTTGTCTAAATCCTCTCCAATGGTAGCTTTGCTTCTTGCCAGCTTGGCCTTAAATGGAAGTGGTCCCTCTTGCTTTTGGCTCCCTTTGTGAGTAGGAGTATCGGATTCAGGGTGGCACCTCCACTCCTTCTGCTGTAGCTGACGTGGCGGCTCCCCATTGCTCAGCTTCTTTGCTTTCGTACTGTAGCAGAGGCAGCACCTCCACCTTCTCTGCTGTAGCTGACGTGGAAGCTCCCCATTGCTTCTTTTGACTGCTGTTGTACTATAGCAGACTTCTTTTTCCTTTCTGCGCAACACTCTTTCTTCTCTCTTCATTTTGTGGTTCCTTTTGATGGGCCTTAGGTGTCCTGAACAAAGCAAACTAACCCAATAGTCATATGTGAAAAAGATAATGTTAAATTTGCTCCAGGTCTACCTTAATTCCCACTTTCGGCATTGCTCTGGTCCACTATTCAAAATAGTTGCTCTATATGAAAAGAAGAAGGTTAAAGAGCGTGATTTATAACCAAAACATGGGTTTTGTGGAACAATTTGCACTTAATGGGCCTCAACTCTTGAGGACTATCAATAGCGTTGATGATTATTACACCAAACTCAGGGCTGTATGGGACGATCTGGAAGGCAGCAAAACTCGCAAGTCTTGCGATTGTGGTGATAAGTGTGTCATTGCCAAAGCAATCGAGGAGGAGCAAGAGCATGATCGCGTTTATCAATTTTTGATGGGGCTGGATGAATCTACATTTGGCAATATGAGATCTCATATCCTCAACACTTCTCCTCTTCCTAGTGTCAACAAAGTGTACGCAATTGTCACTCAAGAGGAGACCCATCGTAGTATTTCTCGCGTTCAAGATGAGAGGAGTCAGGTAGTGGGATACTCAGCCCAAACCGATTCCATGAAGCAGTCAGACACGTCCATGCAGCAACGGATGGTTCCTAACAAACCACAAGACAGAATACCTTGCCCTCATTGTGGCAGGACCAATCACGACCCTTCCAAATGCTGGAACGTTCATGGTTTTCCACCAAACAAGAGTGCTGGTCGCAGACGAGGAAGGGGAGGACGTTCGGCAGGACGTTATACGCATGCTCATGCGACGTTTGCAATGGATGCCTCACACCCAGTTGCTGCTAACTCTCTTCCTCCAGACGTCTCCCATTCTGCCTCTTCTCAAGTTGCTGCACACTCCGTTTTGACCCCAGAAATTGTGAACAAACTGTTAACATTGGTAGACCAGCCTCAGTCACATGAAAAATTATCTGGTAAGCGTATTCATTCTCAATGGCTCATTGATAGTGGGGTCTCACGTCATATGACAGGCATTTTGGCTTTATTAGCTGACATTACACCTATTCCCCCTCTATCTGTGACTCTACCAAATGGTTCTATTACTTATGCTGCAAAACAAGGCTCGATGGTGTTTAATACAAACTTCAGCCTGTCAAATGTTTTATATGTGCCTAACTTACGCTGCAATCTCATCTCTGTTTTCCAATTGCTTCACTCCAAGAGCAGTAGCGTTACATTTACTGATAAAAAGTGCATTTTGCAGGACCAAGTGCTGAAGAGGGAGATTGGTTTGGGTGAACTTCATGAAGGAGTCTATGTGTTTCAGCCTTCATGTGCTTCAGCTTCGGCAGTTCAAGCAGGAGAGTCAATTGACTTGTGGCACAACAGGCTAGGCCATGCATCCTATGATATTTTATCTCTGGTTCCAGAATTTAAAGATTTGCAAAATAAAGTAGTATGTAAGGCATGTGAAGTTTGTCATCGTGCCAAGCAAACTAGATCAATGTTTCCTATAAGTTTTTCTCGCAGCAAAGAATGTTTTGATTTAATCCATTGTGACACTTGGGGTCCTTATCAAAATTCTTCTTCTTCTGGTGCACGTTATTTCTTAACTGTGGTGGATGACTATAGTAGGCATGTATGGGTTTTTATGTTGGCCGATAAAAGTGAAACTTATGATCGGATGTGCAAATTTCTTGCTATGGTTCTGAACCAATTTGGTAAAACCGTAAAAATAATAAGGTCTGATAATGGTACTGAGTTCAAATCTAATAACATGGTGAAACTCTTGAAGGAAAAAGGTATTTTGCAACAAACAACTTGTGTTTATACGCCTGATCAGAAGTGGAGAGTCGAAAGGAGGCATAGACACATCCTTAATGTATCACGTGCCTTACTTTTTCATGCAAATCTCTCTGTTGATTTTTGGGAGGAGAGTATTCTTGTTGTTGTTCATATAATTAATAAAACACCTACAAGAGTTCTCCAAGGCAGGTCACCACATGAAGAATTGCATGGAGTTAAACTATAACACCTCACGATTTTAAATCAAGTAATTAAAATATTAAGTGAGCAATCAAGTGATGGATTAGTGAAAATCCTAAAGATTTGGCCAAAATACAAAGAAAGGGCAAAACGGTAATTAGCCAACACGCAACCCTAGGAAGATAAAAATTGAGTAGAAGGTCTCATATGGTAAAAATAACCCCGGAAATGGGTTCAGAACGAAAAATTGAGTGGATAGGCAAGTTTCAGAAAAATCAGTGAATAGTGTTTTTCGCGGGTGAAAATACCGCGTTACGATTGCACCGTAAAATGTGCCAGTGGAATTTTGAGCTCTAGGTTTCAAATATGAGTTAAAAATGGTCTAATGAGTTAGGAAATATGATTTCTTATGATATTCGATGAAATTAAGACAGTTTGGGGAAGCGTGCCAATGGCGCGCGTAATAGCTTAAAACAGTGTTTTCTCCGAACGAGTGGAGAACTCTTAATTCATCTGATCAAGCATAATTAAAGGAGAATAGTTAATGTTAAAAATTAGAGTTTCTAAATAAGTTTTGAATTTACGGACGTTTAGTGAGAGTTTGGACGCGTTTTAAATCGCGTGAGGTGGCGTGGGACCCACCCCACTTAAAATTCACTTAAAACACCTCATCAAAGTACTATTCATCACCTCCTTCACCCCTCCTTCAGCCAAAAACCGAGCCCCCCTCCTTCTTTCTCCAAGTTTTCTTTCAAATTTTCTTCCCACCTAAATCACTCAAATCCTAACCAAATTCAACAAAGTTTAACTTGAAATTTGTTGGAAATTGCCTTCTAAAGCCATTGGTGCTATCCTTGAGTCGTGAAAGTGGCTGGATTTTGAGATCCTCCCCCTCAAAGGCCGCGGCTCACTTGTGGAATTTGGTGTTCATGGAGCTTTGGAATGCTCCAATGGTGGAGTATACCTAGGAGGAGTCATTTGCCTTGCATTTGGGTAAGTTATTTCAACATTTCAATGGTTGATTGGTGAATTGTGTTTATGAACCCTAAAGAGGGATTTTATGATGTGTTGTGTTAGAGAGCTCAAATGGAAAATGTCTATTAGATGATAATGCCTTAAAATGATGTAGTAATGCTAGAAATGCAATGAAAATTTTAAGTGAAATGTGATGATTTTTAACTTAGAAAAATTGATGATCATGATTTTGGAATTTGTGAATTTTGGTGTTGAGACTTGTTTGATGATGGTGGCATGATGGTATGATGATATAATAGGATGTATGATGGTTGGAATGATTAAAGTTGTATGGAAATTCCTTGGAATGCCATAGGTTAAAATTCGATTCTTTGAGGAAAGATTGTGGAATTGATGTTGAAAAATGGTTTGGATAATGAATTGTGTAGTTATATGGTGCTTAGATGGGTTGTGTTGTGCTTGGAGAGTGTTTGAATCAATGGAGAAAAATGAATTGTGTTAGAGACCTAAATGAGCCCAGAATGAAATATTTCGCAAAACGATGCGTAAATGTCGAAAAATGGAAAAACGACGATTGAACTAGCCTCTAAACAACCTAAGGGAGTGTTATAAAATGAGAAAGAAAATTTAGGAAAATAAATCTCAAATTTACACCTACATGGCCGAACCTCCAAGGGGAAAAGGGGTGATTTGGCGATTTTCGCGTTTTGATGTAATTCGACGCGAAAATGACGAACCGGCACTTGAACCGGCCTATTGACAACCTAATGAGACGTAACAAAATGAGAAAGAAAATTTAGAAAAATAAATCTCACATTTACACTACAATGGCCGAACCATCAAGGGAGGATGGGGAGGATTTTTGTGTTTTTGCGTTTTGATACTATTTGACGAGTACTGATGGATGTACGTTATTGTATAGGTTGCCGTACGTCGACCTGAATCCCGAATCTTGAATCAGTGAATTGCCCTTGGTCCGGGACCAAGTGGATTGAGGTAAGAAATTGGTTCATTACATGTGTAATTATAAATTAACGTGTATGGGTTGAACTGAGAGTGATTGGGAATGTCCTCTGTGTAGGCATTCCGCTGTGTACCGAGTTGAGGGATAAGCTGCTGCGGAGCTTGTGGAAACGCAAATTAAGGTAACCTCTTGGTACTGGGGCTTGTTCCCCTTTTCTGTTCCACCTTGCCAGTTGATGGCAACGGTAGGAAGTGTGTATGAATAGTATAGAACACATGAGCATGCATGCATTATTGCTATGGGTACTTATGTACCGAGTCTCTGGCCAGTAGACAGTTTTATTAGCCTTCGGGCATTTTCGGACTTCCGCTGGATAGGTCTCCAGGAGGGAGTTCCAGTTGACTGCGGTCATGGTGTGTGATCCGGGTAGGAGCACACTAGGAATGTCTTTGGCGTTTTGGTTGGTTTGGGCATCATGGTTGTGGTTTCTGTGAACACACCTTGGATGATACCCATAGGCTTATATATGCCGAGGGCGTACGTGGAATTGGGGTTACCATCCCGTATCGTCGTATTTTGTTTTCTTTATATTCCCCCTTCTCTAAATCCCATGCTATATCCCGTTTTCAAAGTGGTTGTTGTATTCTATTGATATGCATCGAAGTGAACCATTGGGTGGAGTTTTCTCCAGAACCTCTTGGTTACTGAGATATATTCGTATATCTCACCCCGTCTCGGGGCATTTATTTCAGGAGGTAGCAGTGGAGCAGGAGCCTCGGGCAAGAGGCCCGCAGAGTGAGCGGTGGAGCGCTTCTTATTTTGCATTTTGTTGGCCGTGTGGCCTAGGCTAGACTTAGGGCATGAACATGTCATTTGTATTTATTAGTAGCTTCATTAGCATCTTGTTCATGCCATTTTGCCTAAGTCTAGTAGTGATGTATTTGGTTATGTTGTCTTTTAATTAAGTCGAAATTTTAGAAGAATGTAATTTGAAGTTTTAGTTTCAAGTTGTAATTTGTAAAGCCATATTGTAATAGTATTGATGCATGTCTAATTATGATGGAAGGGCCTTAGGCCTATTTTAGGTTATGATAATATGTATGATGGAAATATGCATGAAAAAGGTGTTAGTGATTGCAACTACTTAAGAATGATTAATATGGACTCTATGTTTAATAACTATAAACTGGATTGGGTTGTAAGTGCCCCAAGGCGTTGTTGGTCCTTGTGTGTGCCACCCATTGGATTATTACTGTATTATCATGTGTTTATTAGGTACATTGAGGTTTTAAATGATCTTTTACAAATTTGGGATTATTGGAAAAACAAAGGAAACTCTGGCGAATTTTCTGTAGAATTGGCAGATTTTAGGCGAACTTCGGAAGAGCATATCTCCCTCTATAGAGGTCCCCTAGGGACGTGGCATACGTCATTTTGAAGGTTGAGATGTCCTCTACCTTGTGTCAAAATTTGAGGAAATTCTGGGTTGATCTTCGGCCTGAAATAAATAGAGAAACACGGACTACCCATGTGCCCCTGCACCTGAGGCAGATTCTGGACCGGATTTGGGAAATTAATTCCCGCTTCGTTTCTCCGTCAAATTAAGCGTGTGATATATCAAAATGAAGTTTGAGATGTCTAGTTTGTAGGATAAAAATTTGAGAGCAAATGGTTGAGTCGATTGAGTGCAGTAATTCGGGCAAAGTGAGTGGTTTGGGCTGTTTTTGGGGTTGTTTGGGCTAATTGCTTATCCAACTTCAAACGGCGATAACCGGAGCAAATGAGCTCCGAATTGAGCGTATTTTAGCTTGTTAAAAAGGGAATTAAGTAACACAAAGATATAATCTGAGAAGTAGGGTTGGTTGCGATCTGTTTGGTCGCAGAAAAACTTAGAGTGTAACATATTCGAATTGGTGTAAAACGTAAAGTTGGAAATTGGCTAAGTGAGTTTATGGGAACTCCTTAGTAACTTATAATAAGTAACGTAAGTGATAAAAATAGTTTAAATAAGTCTTCCGCAAGAGTTTATGGTTACGGTCACAGTTTTTAATTATTACGCCTTTTTATGTTTTAAATGCTCGCGTAATAATTGGAAAAAATTTATTCGCGTTTCATAAATGAACTGCTGTGATTGTAACTGCGCTTAATATCATAATTAATGTTAACAATACCGGTACGTAACGGGCTGTTACATAAACCAGATTATACATACTTGCGCACGTTCGGTTGTCTGTCATTTGTTAATGCAAGACCGAAACCAACTGACAAGTTTTCTCCACGTTCGCGACGATGTGTTTTCATCGGATATGCAATAGGGCAGAAAGGTTGGAGATTGTTTGATATAGAAGCGCAACAAAGCTTTGTGTCCAGGGATGTAAAAATTTTTGAAAATATTTTTCCTTTTCGCGAAGCTCCAGTACAATCTGTTTCTGCCCCAAATTCTCGTGTGCCTACAGAGCCAAATTACTTTGACGAAGGCCAAATTGTCCATGACGGTTCTGATGCATCAAATGACAGCCCAACGCCTAGTGGATCATGTGTTCCTCTGGACGATAGGGGGAGTGTTTCGCTGGAAGCAACACCAACTAACGAAGTTGCCGCTAGGGAGTCCTCCTTACTAGAAAGAAGTTCGAGTTCTAGTGATGCATCAACCCAACAGCAGTTGCTGGAAGCAAATCTGCGTCAAACAGTCACACGCCAGCACCGTAACAGGAAGCAACCATCTTATTTGCAGGACTATGCATGTCAAGTAGCTGAAACACATACTCCTTCATCTCTCCCTACTCAAACCAATGTCACCTCAGGTACTCGGTATCCTATGTGCAATTATCTTAGCCTCACTAACTTTTCTAAGCAACATCAAGATTTTGTTGTAGCTATTGACACAGGTCATGAACCACGTACATTTCAAGATGCTATGAGAGACTCCCGATGGGTGGAAGCCATGGGGGCTGAAATCACAGCCTTAGAAGACAACCATACATGGTGCCTCACGGATTTACCTCCAGGGAAGCGTGTTCTTCCAAGCAAGTGGGTGTTTAAAATAAAATATCGTTCTGATGGAACGGTGGAACGGTATAAGGCAAGATTGGTGTTGCAGGTAATTATCAGATTGCCGGAGAAGATTACAGTGAGACTTATGCACCAGTGGCAAAGATGGTGAGTGTACGTACATTGCTTGCAGTGGCTGTAGCAAGAAACTGGGAGTTGCACCAGCTTGATGTTCATAACGCATTCTTGAATGGAGAAATAAGTGAGGAAGTTTACATGAGATTCCCCCCTGGATTCAGTATTGGGTCTAAGCATAAAGTATGTCGTCTTACAAAGTCATTGTATGGTTTGCGCCAATCACCCCGAAACTGGTTTTCCAAACTCAGCAGTTCGTTGACGGCATATGGATTTGTTCAGTCAAAAGCTGATTAAACGCTCTTTACTATGCAAAAAGGGGAAGTGTCTCTTGCACTTTTAGTTTATGTCGATGACATCATCTTAGCAGGTAATAATTCACATGCTTGTCTTGCAGTCAAGGAGTATCTGAATCAGTGTTTTAAAATAAAAGACCTGGGTAATCTGAAATATTTTTTGGGTATTGAAATTGCCCGCAGCAAGAAAGGAATATTTTTATGTCAGCGTAAGTATGCCTTGGATATTCTTTCTGATTCCGGGCTCAGTGGATGTAAACCGGCGATTTCCCCCATAGAACAAAATCATCGTCTTGCCTTGGATGACGGACCAGTATATGAGAACCCTGAAAGGTATAGAAGACTCATTGGTAAGTTGATTTACCTCACTATCACAAGACCCGACCTGAGCTATGTTGTTCATATCCTTTCTCAATTCATGCATTCACCGCGCCTAGCTCATTATGAGGCTGTTCTCCGGGTTATTCGATATGTAAAGAGAGATCCTGGTCAAGGACTTCTCCTCAAATCGGATTATGACCTAAAAATTCATGCCTATTGTGATTCGGATTGGGCTTCATGTCTTCTTACCAGACGATCTCTCACTGGTTTCTTTATTATGTTGGGTTCTTCACCCGTATCCTGGAAGACCAAGAAACAAGTAACGGTGTCTCGCTCTTCTGCAGAAGCAGAGTATAGATCAATGGCTGCAGCTACAGCAGAGATTGTGTGGCTCAAGTCGTTTCTCACCTCTCTTGGGGTCACTCACTCAAGTCCTATGGAATTGTTTTGTGATAACCAAGCTGCTTTACACATTGCAGCGAATCCGGTGTTTCACGAGCGTACCAAGCATATTGAGTTAGATTGCCACTTTGTACGTGAACATATTCTAGCCAAGCATATTACAACAGCTCATGTGCCTTCTCGTTCCCAACTTGCTGATTTGTTTACTAAAGCCTTGGGACAACGCGAGCTTCTTAGTTTTCTTCCCAAGTTGGGCATTTCATCCTTACATACTCCAACTTGAGGGGGAGTGTTGGAGATTATATGTAACAGTATATTGTTTGAATTCTTTGTAACGTATATTGTTTGAATTCTTTGTAACCGTAGGTTTGAATTCTTTGTAACGTGTATTGTTTGAATTCAATTCTTTGTAACCGTAGGTTTGAATTCTTTGTAACGTATATTGTTTGAATTCTTTGTAACCGTAGGACTGTTTAGATAGAGTATTTATTTGTTTTAGTCTGTTACGTTGTTACCATTTATTGTATGTTCGCCTATTTAAAGGCTACCAATGAATGAGATAAGCACACAGTTGAAATATCAAGTTTATCTGAGGTGCTAGAAACCTCGACTCAAACAGAAACAAGTTAGAAGGGAACTCAACAGATTTGATAGAGATAATGTACATATGAATGATATGAATGGTTGGAGCTGAAATTTGGGGTGCATAAATTTGGCAAAGCAGCGTAAACAACACTGAGGTATGAACAAAGCCTATTAGATTTTTAATTTTATTTTTTTGGAAAACGCCTAATTAGATATTTATAATGTAGAAGTAATATTATATGGTTAAAATATTTTGCTCGTGAGACTCTCGAGGAAGAAAAAGCGTAACAGCTTTGGAAATTTATTCTCGAGTAAATATTATTAAGCAAATTTCATAATGTCCGTTTTAGTTCCTATCAAATAAAAAAGTTCATAGTGGTCTCTAAAAAATTCAAAATGAACCCATTTTAGTTCTTTTAAGAACTAATATAGGTCTTTTTTGAATTTGTGAGAAACCACAATTTTAACTAAATAGGTCCATTTTGAATTTTTTACGGACTACGATGGGCCTTTTTATTTGCTAGAAACTAAAACTGGCATCGTAAAATTTGATAAAAACCAAAAAAAGTATTTACTCGTTATTCTATGATCCTCCCTTCTCTTTTTCTTCTTCCTCTCTCTCTCCTCTCCTTCCTATTCTCTCTGCAAGGACCACAACGGGTCGGGAGCTTTGAATACTGTCTCAATAGCTTTGAAATGTTACATAATATATTAACGGAAAAAATTATTCTTAAGCTACGTGATAAATTTCTCTCCTATACACTCTTCGATAATTGTGTCACTTTTTTCTTTTCTTTTCTTTTTATTTTTTTAAGTGGTGGAGCCCACAAGTTTATCTCTATGACATAAGATAACTTATCTTCTTTAACATGAGATTAATAAAACTCAATATTAATATATATTGATGAATTCATAAGATGACAAACTATTTCAATTATTATATTGAACTGCATGTGCTATACAATAAGTTATAAAATACTATTAAAACTAGTGTATTATCTGTGCATTACAACGATAAAAAAAAAATTGATTTGTTTGTCTTATAAAAATTAACACAAATCATAAAAGTATATAACTGCATTTTAGTTTGTCCTGTAGTCATTCAAAAATTATAAAATTTGACTCGACTTCTTTCAGTATTTTTTCAGAGATTGACTTTCGGTTATAATAATCAAATTTATAAAATAAGAATAAATAATTATTTTTGGGATAGGTTATTCTACCTATCATTTTTTTTGTCTACTACCCTTTAACACCGTTAGATCAGAATCTCGATAAGAGAACGAAATGAAAAATGTAGTTGAGATTCTGATCTAATGGTGTTATAGGATGGTAGGTAGAAAAAGTTGTAGGTAGAATAATCTCTCTCATTATTTTTTTACAAAGATTTGTGTCTTTAGTATTTTGAATTTTACAAATTTGTATTTACAAAAATTGAAATCAGATTTAGGAATTTAATTATAAAAGGAGAAGGGTGAAATTTTAATTTAATTATCAAAATGTGTTGGTGGGCCAACTTTTCGAACCGAGTCCAGTTTGTCACCTCTAATTGTAAGCATTTTATATCAGCATGTATTAAGCTTTTATATTTATCCACACAAAAAAAGGATTCTTATAGTTGTGTCTAGATTACTATCTATCTATATTTTCTATTGTTGCCTCTAAATTGACTCTTTGAGGTGTGTGTATTTGTGAGTTGTGACATATATATATAAGACGAAAAATTGACAAATATTTGAGTTAGCACATTTAATATTCTAACAAACACTTAATAGTTGAAGCTGAATGTAGTAATATCAAAAGAGCATTCATTAGCTTAATTGCATAAGATATTCACAGAATTAACATGTGAATAAGTATATATTTAATGCATGGTATTTAATTTCAATAACATTTTAACTCTACCAATAATAATTCGGTGAAGAATACGAAAAGTCAACTACTCATTGAGTTGAAAACTAATAATCATAAATAGATTTAAATTAATAATATGTTGCAAAACATTTAATGTCATTCCTTTTAATTGAGTAATTAATAAAAATAAATAATTATTTTTTTGTAAGGATTTGTGTCTTTAGTATTTGAAATTTTACAAATTTATATTTATAAAAATAAAAGTTTACGGGCAAATAACATGAATTACATATAGGGGCGTAAATGAGTCAGGCCGACTTATAGTGGCCTGTGTTAGGCCTACCCTATTAGGAAATTAGAATAAATTTAGTCTTGTAGAGAAGCCTGTTTAAAAATAAGGTCGCAGACAAAATATGAAAAGTCTGACTTTTTAGCCTGTAGGCGCCTATTTAATTTTTAAAATAAAAATATTTATCATATATATTACTTATTTATTCTAAAAGTTATTAACCATAATATTTATCATATCTTTGTTGTCTTGAACATTATTTAAAAATCTTTCTGTTATTGTTAAAAATCCATTTGAGAATTTTTATAATTTGAACCCTTCCTGAAAATATTGTTTAATAAATGAAACATTTCATTTTTTTTAGTTTAATTTACAACTTGGTGGGCCAAAGAGGCCTCACAGGTCAAGTTAGGTCTTTTATGTTTTAATAATAGGTCAGGTCTGGCCTTTAAATCAAGCCTTTAATAGACTAATGGGTCAGATAGGCTCGACATATATTTACGTAGGCTTGAGCCATGAAGGTCAAAGTCTGATCTTATTACACCCCTAATTACATAGAGACACATTGTGCATTAAAACTAATTTTTTAATGCTTCTAACAAAATAATCACCGGTTCATTTGTAGACACAAAAAACTAATTAATCCTAATAGACATTATAAGAAATATTATTAATAACGTGAATTACGAAGAGATACATTGTGTTTTAAAACTTATTTTTTTAAAGATTCTAACAAAATAATTATTGGTTCATTTGTAGACCCAAAAAAATTAATTAATCCAAATAGACATAATAATAAATACTATTAATAACGTGAATTACGAAGAGACACATTGTGTATTAAAACTTATTTTCTAAAGCTGCTAACAAAATAATCATTGGTTTGTTTGTAGACTCGTAATAAACATAACAATAAATATTATTAGTAGGCTTAACAATTTTCAATGCAGAAAGTGGTGGTATTATTAACAGGCTTAACAATTATCTTTGCAAAAAGTAGTGAGATATTAATACAGTTGTTTGCTACAAATAAATGCTGACTTTTTTTTTTTCAGCTATCAAGTTTAAAATTCGAATTTAAAAAGTTACAAAATTGGAAACATTTAAAAGTGATTTAAGTGTGAACACAAAGTGTTGTGTTGACATTTGAAAGTTGCTAAATAATTTTGGAATAATTACATGTTAAAATAAAAAATTGTAACCAAAATATAATGAACAAATATGAGTTGATACAAAAAATATTATTTTTTTATTTGTTATTATATTGTGAATAATTCTCAAGACAATCATTAACGGAAAATTCGCAATAAGTACTAAAATTATTATATACGATACTACTATCAATACAAAATAGTAATTAAATTTTATATACAAATGTACATTTAATGCAAAGAATGTGGTTGGTTTCTTTGGAACATAAAATCACATTTTGATATATTTTTAAATTTATGCACATTATTTTAATGATAAAATTTTACTATACTTATTTGGACATATTAATTGAACTATTTTAGAACAAAAAATATTTATAATAATTTTTATAAATTATTTTTTAATTTCATCTTAATTGTATTTTAATAATTTTGTATTTAAAACTATATGCAAAAAACTTATGTATTTATTATATTATTTATTTTTTGTTAAAATTTTGAACCATCTTATGCTAATATTCTAATATGAATAAAATAAAATAAAATAAAATATACATAGAGGTGGGCTTTCAAGCCGGCAGGGAACTCACAGGAAAAAGAAAGGGATGAAAAAGGTGCGGAGTATATTCTAAAATTTGAAATTGTGTATTCTCTTTTTTTTTTCACAGCTCTATTAATAAATTATAAAGTTATCTCATGAAGAATTATCGAAATACTAATATTAGGACCCGTAAGATTAAAATTAAACGAAAAATTATTTATAGGTATGTAATAGTAATATCTTTTTTTTATAATGAAGTATATGTCTTCTTTAATTTATTAAAGTAAATATATTTCAATTTCTATTCTAAAAAATTAAAAATAAAGGTTTAAGATATGAAAAATAAAAAATGTAAATAAAAGAAATAAAAAAGACAAAAGACAAAAGACAAAAGACAAAATAAATTAATTATATAATTGAAATAAATTAAAATTTTAAAAATTCTGTCACAGTAGTAGTGGAAGAGATTTTATACTATGTGTAGATGAATTTCATTGTATTATTAAATATTTGTTAGTTACTAACGCAAGTCACCGTTATTATTGACTATTCATACATATTTATTTTGAAGTCTTAATCAACAATCTTTGTTAATAAGTAGATAGCCAAAAAAATGGTAAACCACATTACCGACAAACGCTCATTCTATGATACATCATAAGAATATTGCAACATAAAAGCTTTAAGAATCTCACGTAACAAATAACCCATCCCACTTGAATATATACTTGAATTAATTATATTTTCTTAGAATTTTAAAAAACTATTTTAATTTATACTTTTTATATTTATTTAAATTTAAAAATGTCTTGTCCAATACAGAAAAAACACGTGCTACCCAACAATATTGGTACGGTTGAACCTAAGAATATAGTTGACTGTTTGATAGACGGCAACATTTATCGATAGATATCTGTATTTTTTCATGCTCCAGCATTTGGCACGCCTTGCAAACCTGTATCATGCGGATGGTGGTCGTGTCATGGCTGATATTTTGACTGTGAGCCAGACAAACTAGATGTTGACTAAGTAGGCATTGCGTCAAAAGCGGGGCGTGTAATATCTTAAGAGCCGATAAGATAAGGAGTGATCACTGGTGTGAAAAAGTATGATACAAAAGAGCACGAATAATGAGCAGCTTATGACAAATTTTGTAGTTGGGATATATATAAACCAATCGAATCAATACTTGAAATCGAATCAATATCTGAAAGAGAAAGATTTCAAAGACTGTGCTAATATAAGAAGGTATAATTGAGGATAACTTAGAAGAATTATTTGGTATTATCTATACTAATAAAGTACATTTACTTTTTGATAGCTCAGAATGAAAGAACTGCTCTATAGTTAAGCGTAATTGACTTTATGCAATTCTGAGATAGAGGACCTCATAATTTTTTTTCCAGTGAAGTGTGTTAATAAAGACAAAATATGTTAAAAAGTCTCATATTAATTTATGGGAACAGTCATTAATCCTTACAAGTTATCGAATGTTACAAGATAAAATGAGTCGAGTTTTTCAACTAAGCCGGAGCATGTCACCCAATGTGCCACTCTGACTGTGTCTTATGAAACATTAATGATTGATATATTTATATTAAAACAATAAGACTTGTTACCGTGTATAGACTTTTAGGTAAGTTATTAAATAATATATTACTTTTAGGTAATTTATTAAATAATATATTAACTACGGAAGAACTCGATCAATAGTTAAGTGTGATTGACTTGAAATAATTATGAGATAGGTGACTTCTTAAAAAAAATTTGGTGAAGTGTGTTAATAAAGACAAAGTATGTTGAAAAGTCTCGTATTAATTTATGAAAAGAGTCATTAATCCTTACAAGTTATCGAACATAGGATGAGTTGAATTTTTCATCTCACTCTCAAAAGTAAAGTGGAGCATGTCGCCTAATTTGCCACCTCTGATTCTAGCTTATGAAACAACAATGATTGATATATTTATTTTAAAACAATAAGACTTGTTACCGTGTATAGACTTTTAGGTAAGTTATTAAATAATATATTAATGATGAAATAACTCCATATTTAAGTGTGATTGACTTGGAGCAATTTTGATATAAGTGACCTCCTAAATTTTTTTCGGTGAAGTGTGTTAATAAAGACAAAGTATGTTGAAAAGTCTCGTATTAATTTATGAGAATAATGATTAATCCTTACAAGTTATCGAACGTTACATGATAGGATGAGTCGAATTTTTCAACTATCTCTCAACAATAAGACGGAACATGTTGCCTAATTTGCCACCTCTGGTTGTGTCTTATGAAACAACAATGATTGATATATACTTTTTTTTTCGGTAGGCATGATTGATATATTTATTTTAAAACAATAAGACTTGTTACCGTGTATAGACTTTTAGGTAAGTTATTAAATAATATATTGCTTTTATTATAGTTGCTTTGATGACTAAGATGAATTTGCCTTGAAATTTATGAAAAGCTTATGATGATAAGATTGCGACAGCAAACTAATTGATTCTGCCTAAAAATTTTACTGCTATGACTGAGAAATATCCTGGAAAATGCTTCCGTTTAAGAAACAGTTCAATTACCAGTTATTGTTTTATTTTAGTTTTTGGCCAAACGTGTATTTATGATGAGCTGGTGACCAGAAACAGTTAATCACAAATCATTAACACCTCGTTATGGTTAATTTAAAGACTTTTTTAAATGGGAAATTCAATCCTAATTTTGTTAAAGAATAATATGATAAAAAATCATATGGCGTAATAAGCTGTTCTTATACCGAAAAATTTGCACATGATCGTTAATATACTTGTATCTAATGGCTTATCTATTATTATATATATAAAGGAGAACCAAAGCAAACCTCCTGTGTGTTCACACTATAAACTCTCCAAAATGTTGACGTGTCAAATTGTGATTCATCCTAAGCTGTGTGTTCACACTTGCATTAATATTTAAAAAATAAAATAAAAGAAAAATTCATAATAATTACTTTTTATACAAAAACGAAAATCGAAAAGGATGATTAATGACCCACCATCATTAATTGTTGCATTAGAAGATGAAAGGTTTTTAATTATTGCATTGAAAGATGAAAAGTTGTATAATAATGTTATTTGAATATGGAAAACTCATCATCTCATATTTTGGAAAAACCTCCAAGTCATTAAGACGTTTCTTCCTTCTAGCCCCTGACGTTTCTCATCTCTTGCTTCTGCGATTTTTTGTTCTCACTATTTTTGTTCGACTATTTGTTTGTTGTAGTTATTTTCTTCGTTTGCATTTTGAACGTTCACGATGTTCTCCAAGTATGATTTTATAAAGGATATTAATCCTACCAAGGAGAATTGGAGGATTAAAGTTAGGGTGATTAGGTGTTGGAAGGTTCCCAATATTCACCGGATGGATTTTGATGATAATGTGGACATGATTCTGATTATTGCTGTGCGATTTTTTTGGTGTCTTTTTTTTTTCCATTGATATATTAATGTATCTCTTTTGTATGGTGGAAAAATACATGCCACATTTCAATGTGTAAATGCAGATCACGTTTCAATTTTTTTTTAACATAAATATTGTTTATTTCATATTCAGATACATCTTCCCAACAAGGAAGAAACCAAGATTGTTTTAATGGTATCTTATGTAATTCGCGCAAGGAGAGTTGTAATAATTCCTTTCCATCAAATGGTATGACAAAATCTTTGGTAGAAGATCTCTCGCAAAATTCAGCCTCTCCTGTCATTACGTAAGTTTTTTTCCGTTCTTCCTTCATTTACAACAAACAATAAATCGTACATCGAATATTCTTATAACAAGAATATTTGAATCTTTTCCATCCAATGGTGTGACAAATTCTTTTGTATGATTTTTTTTTATACTTCGATACTTTTTTATGTTTTATTCAAGCAGAATATTTGAGTCCCTTCCCTCAAATGGTGTTGCAAATCCTTCTATGAAAAATCTTTCGCCATTTTCTGCCTCACCTGTTGGCAAGTAAGTTTTCTTCCTCATTTATTTTTTTACAACAATAAAGTAATAATTCACGATTACTGTTGATCAAAAGTTACGGTAAAATCTTTTGTAGAAAATCTCTCTCCACGGTCAACATCTCCATTAATTGTTCTGTAAGTGTTTATTTTTGTCATTTGTTCATGTAGAAACACAAAAAGAAATCATACTTTGTGACTTCTTATAAGTTGAGATTTTTTTTCAAGCAGAATATTTGAATCATTTCCCTCCAGTGGTGTTACAAATTTTTATGTGGAAAATCTTTCGCCATTTTCTGTCTTACCTATTGGCAAGTAAGTTTTGCTTCCTCATTTATTTTGTTCACAACATCTATCTAACGACACAAATCCTTGCAAAAAAAAATAATTTATTATTATTTTGTAAATCTAATTGTAATAAATGAAAGTTCATCTTTGGGATAAAATATAAAATCTTAGACGTAACTATAAGAGCCTTTTTTGTAGATAAATATACAAACCTATTACATGCTAATAGTTAGAGGTGACAAAATTTATCATTGTATGTTGTTGTTTTTTAAAAATTTATCATTGTGGGTTCTTTATATTGTTACAAGTTTTTAGCATGTGTATTGATTTGATTTTGTTTAGACACATTTGTTTCAGTGTAAGTATAACATCCCGAGCGCTGACGAGGGCGGGGAGTGATCGCCGGTGCAAAGAGGTACAGACAAGGAGCAGCTCCTAACAGGCTTTCAGCGGGGGGTTACATGCATGAATGAATCGAATCGACACCCGAAAGAGAGGGATTCCAAAGGCTATGCAGGTATAAGACTGCACAGTTTGGGATAGCTTATAAGAATTAATTAGTACTACCTATGCTAACAAGATGCATCTGCTTTTCGGTAGCCCGGATCGGAAGAACTCCGCAGTTAAACGTGCTTGACTTGGAGCAATTCTGGGATGAGTGACCTCCTGGAAAGTTTTTACGGGAAGTGTGCGAGTGAGGAAAAAACACACTGAAAAGTCTCGTGTTAGTATGTGGGGATAGTCACTGATTCTTGAAGCGGTCGAACGTTACAAGTGGTATCAGAGCAGGGCCTCTCATCCAGTACGGTGTGGTTCGAGGACGAACCAGGCGGAAGCTGGTGGGCATGTAACATCCCGAGCGCTGACAAGGGCGGGGAGTGATCGCCGGTGCAAAGACGCACAGACAAGGAGCGGCTCCTGACAGGCTTCCAGCGGGGGTTACATGCATGAATGAATCGAATCGACACCCGAAAGAGAGGGATTCCAAAGGCTGTGCAGGTATAAGACTGCACAGTTTGGGATAACTTATAAGAATTAATTGGTACTACCTATGCTAACAAGATACATCTGCTTTTCGGTAGCCCGGATCAGAAGAACTCCACAGTTAAGCGTACTTGACTTGGAGCAATTCTGGGATGAGTGACCTCCTAGGAAGTTTTCCCGGGAAGTGTGCGAGTGAGGAAAAAGCACACTGAAAAGTCTCGTGTTAGTATGTGGGGATAGTCATTGATTCTTGAAGCGGTCGGACGTTATAGTAAGCAAAAAATGTGGCTCATACATGACTATTTGGTTAATTTGCTTTCAAATCCCTTTCTAACAATGTTTTTTGGGTTCTAAAAAATAAAAATCCCATTTTTTTGTTGAGACTATTACTTGTGGGTGTTAACATATTAGCGTAATTTATTTAATGAGCATTTGCATTTTGTACCGTAGGCATAAATATGATGGTAGAAGAGGATGTCCCTCGTAATGCATAAACATAGGAAATCACATGTTTAGTATGTATTGAAATCATCCCTCCAATGATTGCTACAGAATGACACTAAATTAATAGTTTTTTTTTATTATAGGAACAAACTGATCTTTTAATTCGATATTTGCTTGGTCTGTTTGTTACCTTGATTTTATTGGTGGCTGTTATAATTAGCAATAAGTTGTATGCATTTTTCTTTTTTTATCCATCCTCATTTTAACATAGTCTACTATGACGTATTTATTTTTTTCATAACTCAACGAGTAGATAACTATATTTGATTTGTATAATATTGATCACTCTGGATAGCAGATTTTTGTTTATGGTTGATATTTGTAAAGTTTTGTGTCAATGCTGTAATTTTTTCCACCTGAAATATAGAATAAGATAGTAACAGGTTTTTGTAAGTATAAGGTTTGCAGTGTGATTAACCAACCACGACGGACGACAAATATTTTGATAATACACTAGTATATTTAGTAAATTAGATTCGTAGGATATAAATACACTTGACATATAAATTTGAGAATGTAATTTGTACCCAGATAAAATGATCCTAACCCAATCATAAATTTAGCTTCGTAAAAGGATGTAAATGGACTGAATCAGGCTAGATTCTGGTTTAAATAAATTAGACTTATATAAAACATTTTGAGTCTGGGCAGATTTATTAATTTGGTGCAAGCCACTGACTTAAACTATATTAAAAAAAATGTCTTGCCTAAACTTGTTAATCAGTTTTAGTTTATTAAACCTTTAATATTTATAGAGAATTTTAAAAAATCAATAAAATAACATTATTTTATTAATTAAAAATAATTAAGTTTTTATTTTATTTTTTTTAATTAAATTATATTAAATAATACAAGTACGTGTGTGACATTTTTTTAAATAGATTTTTTAAGACTTAAGCGGCTTCTATTTTAATAAATCCAAATCTAATCTAATGTAAACTAGGTCATAACTCTTAAAAAAGTATCTCTCTCTCTCGTTTACACACCTACATTCACGATTCACCAAAGAATCTAGGTTTGTGAAGAATTGGTTGTGATAGTAACAGTTCCAAATGAAATCACATGCGATTAATTTAAGAATTTGTTTATCAATTTTTTTTTTAGAATTTAATATTTTTACAGTAAATATAAATAATTTATGGAAAAAACTATTCTTATGCTACATGTGATAAGTTTCTCATCTACACACTCTTCGATAACTATAACTGTGTCATCTTTTTTTTTTTTCTTTTTTCAAGTGGTGAAACCCACATGTTTATCTTTATGATATGAGATAACTTATCTTCTTTAACATGAGATCAATAAAATCTATAATTTATTTACATTAATTATCAAAATAACACCGATTTGAGTTAAAAGACTAAAAAATTATGATGATAAAAATTATTTTAACTTGAAATAAATTATAATTATATAAATACATTGATTTCTGTCCAAAATAATGTCATTTTGAATTCAATATACATAATTTATCTATATTGACTGCAGAAAAATAATCCTTTAATTTAATTATATAAATAGTTCATCCATGAGTTTGATAAATGGGTACTCAATTAGATAAATAATTAATTTACGCCCTAAGTCAAAAGAAGACGCACATCCTTTTTGGCATTACATATCGTAAGTCTCCGTTTCTCATCTTCTATGGCCCTTTCTCACCATAACCACCCACCCCGTTCATCAACTTTTTGCCCCCAACGGCATCCCACTGGCACAATCATTGCCAGTATGACAACTCTAACTCAGCATTGGGTGAATGATAATGAATATGATACCTTTTAAAAGAGAGGAATATTTTAAAAATATGCAATATTACAATTATTGATTAGTAAATTAAATATGAGAATTTATGATAAAATATATGTATATATCAAATAAATTAATAGATTTTTTTTTTTAAACAATAAATATTTTTTAAGTCAACTTCATGATTAATAATGATCAAATAATTTGAGCATGCGGATAGGGTCATTAGGAAAAAAATAAAAATCGTCTACCGAAAAAAATAAAAATCATTCTATTTATTTACCAAAACAAAATTCCTTCCATTTATTTACCTGAAAAGTTATCTCTTATGGATTTAAGATAAAGGCACGTAAGAAGGACAAACAACTAAAAGAAAAATTTTAAAAAATTCTTTAATTATATTAATCTTAATGTGACAGCTTATGTTGTATCGACACCAACACGGAATACGACACGACATGACGACACGTTAATTTTAAAAATATTAAATTTTGACACATTTTGATATTAAATAATATATTTAATATATATATATAATATAATTTATATATATATATATATATATATATATATATATATATAACAGCAAATAAAAGTCATATAACTAATAAATATCTTGAATAATTTTATCTATAAACATATAGCTCATGAGTGTGCTAAAGGGATTGATTATAGAGCTTATAATATTATTTGTCAAATATTTTTGATTATTCAATATAATTTGTCATTTAAGGTAATATACAATAAATAAGATGGCATTAATAGCCTTAATTTTATTTCAAAACATAATTATCTTCAATTAAATTACCCATCATTAAAATATTAAAGACACTAATAAATAAATATGTTAAAATTGAGAAAACATTTAATGATGCACACATTAAATGCATTTTGAATTTATACATCAAAATTCCTAATTATAAAAAAAAACCCTCACCATGGAATTTCAGAAAAAGCAAAAGATTGACGAGGATGGCCGATTTCGATTCCCCTCCACCACCGTCCTCCGCCACCATTGCCTCCATTCTCGAAACTGCATCACTTTGTCATCTAATGTGCTCGACGCCATTCGTTCTGTCGCCGACCGCAACACCACTCTCCAGAAGCTCTTCGTTCGGGGCCTCAGCAACAAACCACTAGAAACTTCCTCCACGAGGCCACCGTCATCTTCGACAAAGCGACTGGTAGATCCACGAATTTTTTTGTTTGTTTTAAAACTTGTTTTATTTTACAATTGTTTTAATTTTATAAAGTTTTTGAAAACTTTACATTTTGGCCTTGTGAACAAACACGAATATATATATTGACTAAAAAGTTATATTTTTCTATCTAAATTCGCGTTAAAATTAACGTTAATGACGATCTATTATCATTTTTTGAATGTCCTCGGAAGTTAATAACCAACTCATCGCTTTTCTTTATCCGGATCTCAAGAACTAGTAAAAATAGAAAATATAAATAAAGATTTGATATATTAGTGGATATAATTATAGCAACTTAAATTTTTCATAAACATAAAAAAGAAAAAAACGAGTTGGACACGGTCAAAATCGCGTGTCGAGAGAGTCAACGTTAAAGGTGTTAATGGGTCGAGCCGGGCTGCACATTGATATTAAAAGGCTAAACCTGTGTTTAAATGTGTCAATCTGACCTAGCTTGTTACCTGTTATGAATATAATTATCGACATGTGACCTGACTTATTTACAAAAAATAAAACCCTAGTTTAACCTGTTTAAAAAAAATAAGATAACAAAAATTTATCCAAACAGAAAATACAATCAACAGCACTAGTAATTCCATAAATATTCATAAATTCAACGTATATCCAAACAACATAATATAGAACAAAATCATTCAAAAAGTTTGTTTAACTAATAAGGGGTGAAAAGGATTGAGGAGAGAGATGACTATTACAAGTAGTATAAAAAAATAAAAATAAAAATAAAAATTAATATACTAGGCCAGCCTGAGAGGCTCTAAGGCCAAGTTTTTGAATTGTACCCTGAAGCTTTTTATTAATCGAGCTTTTATATAAGTCTAAGTCTGGTTCCAACAACCAATTTTAAACATGTAAGCTCAAGCCTTCACAAATAGAGCAAAAAGCCCCTGATTTGTTTCCATCCCCAGATAGGGGGTATTATAAGTAGTATAAAAAATAAAAACAAACTTTTACGTTTTCCATTAACTTTTACGAGACAAACAAATCGATTTCATTTTTTCTTGGAGCAACGCACGAGTAATATACTATTTTTCAAATAAAAATAAAAAACTAAAATCAAAAATCAAAAAATATTTAAGAGAAAACTAATTTAACTGAAAGAGGATTATATTATTACTAATAAAAATTAAATTAAAATATAATATGATATATATATAAGCAGTTACTTTTTTATGTTTAACAATATTAAAACATTGTTTTTTTTTGCTGGTGATTTGCAAATATTCTATTATGCTTATCGTTTATTAAATAAATTCGAATAATAATCAAAGAAAATAAAGAAAGTAAAAATCCCATTTTAATAATTTTTTTAAAAATATTAATTTAATATGAAAGCTTGTAAACATGTGTCAGTCCAGGGGCATATATACATTGGGTTGGACTTGTTAGGTATGTATAAAATATTTTAGACCTGACATGGTCTGTCAATCTTATATAGGTCTAGTTAGAAGTCTTACATAACTTATTTTTAGAAAATGTCTAGGCCAATTGGTCTGTTTAAGTCTATTAGGTATTTAGTAGTTAAAAAAACAATTTAGATAATATTATTTTATTATTTAAAATTATTATTTTAATAATTTATTTATTTTATTTAAAATAAATAATATAGGATGACCTGTAAGATTATAGGACCTGTTTGAAGCACATGATAAAGAAGATAAGATAAGATAACTTATCATATCATACCGTTATCTCTTGTTTGGTGGATCAATAGGATATGATTAGCTTATCCTATTGTCTCATTTTATTCTATCCAATACATGATTTCTTATCCTATGGTATGTGGGAGCTGAGTTAGGATTCAACATGATAGGATACCAATATTGGATACCCATATATCCTCACGTCCCTAATATATCCTCACGTTACCCAATATATCCTCACGATACCCGATATATTTGTATTTATTGCATTGTATTTTATTTTTCTTTCTCCTTTCTTCTTCTACATAATCTTATCAGATTGCTAATCAGGTTCTCATCAAACACAGGACACGATATAGGCTTATCAGCCCCATATCATATTCTACCCTTATCAGTCTCATATCTTATCCTTATCAGTCTCATATCTTATCCTTATCAGTCTCATATCTTATCCTATCCTTATCTTATCTTGTCCATAAAATGAGTCCATAGGATCAGCATGTAAAAGGAAATATATGACCTATTTTTTAAATAGATTTTTTTGAGATATAAATTTTTTCTATTTGACTATATGTAATTAACGAGAAATTATATTTATTATATAAGATTACATTATACCGTCATTTTTGTTTTAAAGCTTTTGTTAATAGACATTGACAAACGACAAACACTAATTTTTTATTATTTTATTTCTTGGAGTATGAAGTGCAGTTTATAACTTTATATAGCATGTATCCTTTAAAGAAAATTCCAAGATTGTTTAATTGACTGGGTGGTTCTATTATTGGTGATCTCGCCTAATCACACTAAAGAGAGATCTGAAGCTAGCTAGCCATGGCGGAAGGAAGTGAAACAGAACGAGACAGAACCATGAAGAGGTTCCTTCTCATAATTAACTGCGTCATGTTAGCCTTAGGAACCTGCGGTGGTCCACTCGTTCTCCGTCTCTATTTCATCAACGGCGGAAAACGAGTCTGGCTTTCAGCCTTCCTCGAAACCGCAGGCTTTCCCTTCATGTTGCTTCCCCTCGCCGTCTCATACTTCAACCGCCGCCGCCGCCATCGTGCCACCGCCGCCGAAAGCACGAAACTGCGGATTATCTCGATGAAGCCTCCTCTGTTTTTCGCCTCCGCCTTCGTCGGAATCCTCACCGGCCTCGACGATTATTTCTACGCCTACGGCGTCGCTCGGCTTCCCGTTTCGACTTCCGCCTTGATCATCGCCACACAACTCGCCTTCACCGCCGTCTTCGCTTTCCTCCTCGTGAAGCAGAAGTTCACGGCTTACTCGGTGAACGCTGTCGTTTTGCTCACCGTTGGAGCGGCGGTTTTGGCTCTTCACACCAGTGGGGATCGTCCTGCGGGTGAGTCTACAAAACAATATGTTATGGGTTTTGTTTTGACACTTGTTGCTGCTGCATTGTATGGGTTTGTTTTGCCCTTCGTGGAGTTAATGTACAAGAAGACCAAGCAAGCTATCACATACTCTCTTGTCATGGAGATTCAGTTTGTTATTGGCTTGTTTGCTACTTTGTTCTGTACGATCGGCATGATCATAAACAACGACTTTAAGGTTGTTCTCTTTTTCTCTCTGTCTATGTCTTTGTTTAATTTTGATTAATAAAAGTATTAAAAGTACAATTTTTAAATTGTAAAGTAATAATTGTGATTTGGGTTGTTTGAATTTTGCAGGCAATTCCAAAAGAAGCGAGAAATTTTAAGCATGGGGAAGTTAATTACTACGCTGTGCTTGTGGGGAGTGCAATAATGTGGCAGGGTTTCTTCTTGGGAGCAATAGGGGTTATCTTTTGTGCTTCTTCTTTGTTTTCTGGTATTTTAATTGCGGTGTTGTTGCCCATTACCGAAATCCTCGCCGTTATTGTTTACAAAGAGAGTTTTAAAGCAGAGAAAGGGGTTTCTCTGTTACTATCACTTTGGGGCTTTGTGTCTTACTTTTTTGGGGAGATTAAACAGGCCAAGAAAGCGAAAAGGAACAACATCCCAGAAACAGAGCTTCCTCCTCAAGCTCCGTAGTATTATTTCTATGATCCATGACTGCAATGCATGTTTTTCCGTTTTGTGTTTGAATTTTGTATCCGTAGGTTAGCTTTTGCCTCAGCTTCACGCAAATGTCAGTTAGAAGGCCATTTCCATCCAACAAATCCTGCACGCACGCACGCGCGACAGCATATTTTAGTGGTCAAAGCAAAAGCGGGCATATAGTATATATTCACGACTGTATTACTATTGGTTTTCTTTACATGAATAAAAGAATTCGTGGTGGCAACTGGCAAGTCTCTCAAATAAAGAATCAGATGCAAGCATTGAACGGTCATACTTAAAGCCGAATCGCTTTTGAATCAACCAAAAAAATGGGATTGTATAATACCTGTGAGTGTTTCAATAAAAATTTATACTCATAATTCTAAAGTAATTTTATTTTATCATTCAAAAAAAAATTAAGGAAAAGGGCGTGGGTTCAAACTCCGCTGGCTAATGTGAGGACTTTGTTGGTGGGTGATATGTAATTCCTCTCAGAAATTCTCAAAGAGGTTGGGGGTCTTCCCTGACCCTAGTGGTATATCGGTGTGAAAGGAATCACTTATCACCAAAAAAGTTTATCACTTTTACAACTAATTTAATCATGGTTTATTTTTGTCAATCTAATTGTTATAATTTATTGAAAATTAATAACATTTATTATGTCACATTTATTAATTAATTAATAATTCCCAATAAATTATCATCGTTAGATTGACAAAAATCAACGGTGATTAAATTGATTGTGAGAGTGATAAATTTTTTTGGTGGTTAGTATATCCTGCTTCATAAAATTAATCATTTTGAAAAAAATTCATTTTTTTTTTAAATACAAATGAATATTTTAAAATTAGTTTTTGAAAATCCATTATACCAAAATATATTCATTCGAAATTTATGATTTGTTCTTTACGATATATATAATTTATATAGAGCACAACGCTCATATAAAAAAAAAGGGAAATACTCTGTGGTTTTTTTTGAATCATTTATTCCCTATTTTTTTTTCTCGTTTATCCTAATACACTTCAATTATCTTGTTTCATCTTTTTTTCAAATTTTGGGAAGAAAATGACATGAGAATGAGATAGGTAAAGTGTATTTTTGATTAAAAAAAAAAAAAAAATCATAATAGCCATGTTGTGGCGTAGAAGAAGAAGTGAATCGTCTCACATGTCATTTTGCGTGATGATGTAATTTATAATATTTTTAGTATTTTAATTTTTTTGTCGCCGTTAATTATGTTAATATGATATCACACATGACAGCAACATAAAAAACAATAAAAATGGTATGTCACAAGCTTTGGAGCAATCAGGATTTTGGTTGTTGCGTTTGACCAAAATTCAAGAGAAGAAATATGCTCGTAAAGATCCTATAAGTAAAAGGAAATAATACTCTCATGCCACATGAGATACTCTCATTTTCCTACACAAATTCGTTTTCCGTGCCAATTAATTTTTCTTTTCTTTTTTAATATAAAATATGGGACCCACATTTAACTTCTCTCTACTTTTTTTCTCTCCTACAATCCTACAACATAAGAAAAGTTAAACCCATAAGTAAAAAAGGAGTCAAACGAGTACAATACGACTTGCCTGGTTGTACTCATTTCCATATTTCATTGCCTTCTCCGTTTCCTCTTAATTACCAGAACTACTTAAGCATTTAAGTCAAAATTTAATAAAAGCTGGCATGGACCATATGGTTGGCGCCAGAAGAAGGGTTCTGTCAATCAATTTATACTTGAGGCAAAAATATTTATTATGTCATATGAAAATACCAAATTCGAACCTATCCTCTTATTAATTCTTTCTTTCTTTCTTTCTTTCTCTCTCTCGTCTCGTTTCGTTCCAAATTCGATATATATCCTGCATTTTCTCCAGGGCCATTAAAAGCTGGTCCCTTGCTTTACCAATTAACTTTAAAAGGATTCAGCCCAAGGTGCGAGATTTTCATCATTCAAGAATCAAGATGGTCCAATATATATTCGAATAATGCAGTGCCAAATTGCAATATCGAATAACTCAGAGGAGGAGGCAACCATGTCATGGTATCATTCTGCAACCCATGGACGAAAGGCAACAGCATCACGATGGCACGTTTTTGGTTTATTATATCGAGAAAGATGAGGGTCAACCAAACAAGCTTTGTTTTAACGGCTTGTTTGGTAGGTAGGTCATGATAAGAATGCATATGATACGATATAAGACTAGCTAGAATAGGATACGAGCTTATATTTTATCTTGTGATTGATTTGCATAAGATAAATCGTCTAATAGGATAATGTTATCCTATTTGATATTTGAGGTGAGCCATATAGTGTATTGATATAAATAGACAAAAATATCTCTTTAGTAGAATTTTATATGATTTTTTAAAATTGATTTTTACTTATTTAAACATTATTTCTTATTTTAAATTAGGGTTAGTTTTGTTATAAACAATTTGTCTAATGTTTACCGAAACGATGTCGTTTTGGGACAAAATTTATGGTGTATAATTTATTTCAGCGTTATAATAGTCTTTATTATTCTAATTTTTTAATCACAAAATGATGCTGTTAATGTGAACGTTAGACAAAATTGTCTACAGTAACATTAGATAATCTTTTCCTTTTAAATTATTTAAAAAAAATTAAAAGTCATAATTTTAAATAAAATATATTAAAATACATAAATAATTTTATAATTTTTTTAAATATTAAAAATTATATCCTCACCTATTAAAATTAAAAATTAATTTTAAATTAATTGTTAATATTGGTGAGTAATTACAATGGTGAGTGGTTGCGGCGGGTGACCGATTAAATTGGTAGTGTTATAAGTTGCGGGGTAGGTGGCATTGGGTGGTTGTAATAGCATTGGTAGGTGACAATTGTGGTGATTGATTGATGACAGTGGTGGTTGGTGTCTGGGGATGCCAGTGGCGAATGGCAACAGCAGCGATGGTGGTATTTGTTGGTACGATGGTGGCATGTGAGGTTAGTTGGTGGAAATGGTGGCACTGACGTTGGTAGGTGACAAATGTGGTGGCTAATTGATAATAGCGGGCGGTTGTAGTGGTGACTAGTGGTGATTAGGGGTGGTAGCAGCCCGAGGTGGTGAGTGGAGGCAATTGTGGAGGCCGATCTATATTGGTGGGTGGTTGGTTCTTGGTGGTCGGTGGTTGCTATAGCTCATTGTGATGAATGGTTGCAACAGTGGATGAAAGAGATTTGTTATTGTCGGTTGACCGGTGGCAAGGGATGACCCTCACATGCCCAGAAATATTCATAGTGGAAGAGCATAGCGCTATATTATGTGATACTTGTTATCCTATTATATCAATTTCTAACCCAAGTTTTCCTATATCATATTACGGACATGATAAAATGTGTCAACAAGATAAATTTATCATATCTTATTAGTTCAACAAATAATAGATAAGGGCAGGATATGATAACATATCCCATCTTATCCTCTTTCAACCAAACTGACCTTAAAATATTCAATTATATTTAATAAAAAGGAATTTTTCAGTTACTTGTAAGTTGTAATTTAATTTCACTCGTGTCAACAGAAAACACTTATAACGTCGATCGTGGAAGTGCGAAATTCAAGTATAATAATAACAGAAAATAATTAAGTTCCAAAGTAAGAACTTGAATAATAAAAACAAACTATGACATAAAATTGAAAAGAGTTTACAAAAAGTAGAAATAAAAATACGTTTATTTTTAAATTTTAATAATTTAATATCAAAATATAGTTTAATATATTATATAAATTAATTTAATAATTTAAGCATAATAATACGTTTATTTTTAAATTTTAATAATTTAATAATGTATGTAATATATTATATAAACTAATTTATTATATTTAAATAATAAATAACTTAATAAGTCTTTTAGTAAAATTAAGCTTGATTGACTGTAACTAAAATAAAACTTTTTTTTATTAGGGTTTTTGTGTTTGTCATTTTAAATTACGTTATGTTATTTTAGGAGAGAGATAGACACAAAGAATAAAAATCATGAGAAGAAAGTGAGTGATTTTTTTAAATTAAATTTTAAACAAAATTTTTTATTTTATGTCTATCTATCTTCCTGTTCTCGACGTTACTCCAATGGTGGAAGCCTTGTGTTCTCACTTCTCATCTTGAAGATGAGCATTAGTGTGAATCAAAAGTCACGGTAGGTTGTTCTTTTCTCTGATATATATCATTTCTTTTCCTATTTTGTAATTTAGATCTATTTTAATATGTTTGTTTGGTAGAATGATTCGTTTATTTATTTTTTAATCTAAAGCTAGATCCTGTTTGCGTTGTATCTTCATTTTGAGAATTTGGTAGCTTTTTTTTTTTTTTGTATTATTTCAATTGGTTCATTACTTTAGGATTTCTTAACAACCTTAAGTTACCACCCAAAAGCTAGCTCATGGAGTGAGAGTGGACTTATAAACCTCACATTGGTTATTAGTTGCCCATACAACCAATGTGAAACTATATTTCTTAACTACAAAGAAAATGGGAGCCGGTGAGATTTCGTGATACTCTCTGTTAAGAACCTTGAGGTCACCACTCCAAAAGCTAGCTCAAGGGGTGGGAGTGCCCAAGCCTTATAAACCTTACATTAGTTGCCCATACAACCAATGCAGGACTATATTTCTCAACAGGATTAATTTGATTCGGGACGAATCCAAGATTAAAGTTTTAAACTTCTTTTTCTTCAAAAAAAAAAAAAAAAAAAAAAAACTGTAGCTTTGATACTGAAATTGTTGGAATCTTGCTACTAATTTCCTCAAATGATTGAAAGCACGAAAGCTAATTGCTATTTTAGTTAGTTGTACAGAGAAAACCCATAAAAATTTGAATTTTGTATATATTTTAATTTCAGAAAAATTATATGACCTGCTTTAGCTTTACGTATGAAGTTCTAAGCCTTAATAAAAAAATTCTATCAGCTAGGTTGCTGGTTCAAACTAGCATAAACATGTTATCGTTTGTTTGTTTCACTCTGTCCTTATTTATTTTTTCCCCCAACATACTTTGCAATTTGGTTATAATTGTAAAGCAAAAAGTGATAAGGTTAAGCTAGCGCAAGAATGTGTATAAATGATAAATTCAAAATTTGTGGAGGGAGGAAAGCTTGCGTGTTAAAGAGGACTTCTATGGTTTAGTTGTAACTTGTAAGTTTGTAATCTATTATAGTGAGTAGAGAATCGAACGCAATACATAGAAAGAAAAAAGTAAATTA